AAATGTACCTTACCTTTGAGCATTTAGTACATTAAATTTAGTTTGAAAAGTAGGGATATAACCTGTAAAAATCAAAGTTTATTTCTAACCAAAATACAAAGAGAAAGAATCAGGAAAACTTTATCCTAGTCAAAATGTATTGCACCTCAGTTAGGTTTGAAGAGACAACCAATAAGACTAAGACTGCACTAATGTAAATACACGAGTGGACATTGATAATCTGTACACCAACGGACCACCAAAATCTGACTGTATTAACTAGACTGAGAGGCAATCTCTTTCTTTTCCTCATTTTTTTCTGTAGCACAAGAAAGTAGCGACCTTTCAGATCGGCGAAGTACGAGATTTATTACGAGTACAACTTTTCAAACTAATGCGCAGGGTTTACATTAATACATCTAACACCAATCTCGTGAGCCTTCTTCTCTACTGGTCAGCAACAGGGAGGAGCGAGAGGCTCTGGGAACGTGATTTATTGAAATTCAAAAGTTGTACTCATAGTCAATCTCGTACTCTGATCTAAAGATCGCTAGTGAGTTGTGTGAAAAAATCAAGCCATTAGCCACTGTGAGCCACTAGTGTCTTGGCCAGTCACCTCTCTTTCTTGTTTTTACCATTGATTTCCATAACTGATAAATTTCCACTTGTGCATGGGATCTTAGGTAAAAAGGAAGACTGCTCGCAGTCTAGTGTTAATGAGGGACAAATTAGTACTGTTGCGTCTGCAAGTGTAATTGATAATACAGACCAAAAAAATTGGCGTGATAATGAGGTGACTGTTTTCACAAGGTGGTCGTGAGGTGGGGCTTTACTGTACCTGTAGCCTAAATCCCACAGTGATATGCTTTGCTTTCTAGAACCTCCTGTAAGCTTGCCAACATCAGAATTTCATAAAGTAAATGAAGGGCTCCAGGCAAAAATGTCCCCTTGTTTTTTTGGAAACAAAAGAAACAAAATAAAGGAACCAAACAAAAGAAACTGATTAACCAAGGGGACGTTTTTGCCCAGAGCCCATCATATTCAAAGAGGGTTTTAGTTATATTCATGTACTGGTATATTTACCATTAAAAAAAATACCCTGTATGCATTACAGCCTCCTTTCACTCTTTACACTCTTGGTGTAGAGGAAGAAAAGAAAAATCATGTAGTTTCTTTGTAGTTGCTGTCGCCCAGAAATCGGGGTGAGTCAAACGAGTTTTCCCCTGGTAAAAAAATTTTTTTTTCTGCATGCAGCTATTTTTTATTGATGAACTTATTTGAGTTCATCATGATGACCATGCACACAAAGTCAATAATTAAAAATAATTGTCAAAAGTTGTGTTAAGGCTAATTTACACCTACGATTTGTCGGCCGATCAGTCGGCACACTAGTAAGACTAATTTGCACGCTACGATTTGTCGGCCGATCAGTTGGCACACTAGTAAGACTAATTTACACGCTACGATTTGTCGGCCGATCAGTTGGCACACTAGTAAGACTAATTTGCACGCTACGATTTGTCGGGCCGAGTTCTCTTTGATTGGTATAGCGAGAGGATGAAATCAGGCCCTATTTATAAAATCTGTGGCGCTGCTACAGATTTTTATCAATCGAGCCCGATTTTCGTCCGCTCAGTCAATTTCTTAATAAAGGCCAAATCAGGCTGACAAATCGTAGCGTGTAAATTAGCCTTTATACATATTTTGGTGGTATACAAAATTATTATTAGTAAGATTGCAGAAATTTTGCATCATCTTCTCCTGAAATGATTCCCAGCCAATGGATACAATGTAGTTTAATCAAAAAAATACTAAAAAAAATTAAAACTTCAAAATATGTGTTGGAAAGCCCCCATAAAGCCTCAGTCTTTACTTTGTTTTAGATCCAGAATTTTGCATGTGCAAATTATGATAAGTGATTGTGTCAATCAAATTTTAATTGAAGGGTCAAGTCGAAAACTATGCACCCCAAATGAGAAAATACATGATTTCCACAGAGGTTTCTTTCTCTGCACTATCAAGTAAAGAGTGAAAGATGCTCCGCTTGCAGGGTGATAGAGAAAAGTCTGCAGGGAATCGAGTGTATAAAAATTAATATAATATATGCTACAGTGTAGGTAGGGCATTATACGGTAAAAATTATATTTTCCGTTATCATGTTCATTGTGTTAACTAACTTCACTATTATTAAAGGAAGTATTTTAAATTAATTAGTTATAATCAAAACTACTGAACCAAGCGCGTAGGGCAAGCATTATTAGTTAAACTATGCAAAATAGCCAATGTTGTTTAGTAAATGTTGGTTGTCCATGTAGAAAACCAAGTCCATTTTACACTGAAATGTGCTATACTTTGGTCACTCGGTACAGATTCTGGTTAATTTTGGACAACTGTTCAACATTTTTGATTTTCCATTGTTGACCTCTTGAGAAATTTTGGTCTGGAATGGCAGAGAAAAGATGTTAACAGTTGATCAGAAACCTTTAACAAATTGCAACAGTTCAATGCAGCAAGTCAATTAGCCTGTGTGCAGACGTCTCCTATTCCTTGCGTCACTTTTCCGCGTGAAGCAAGGAAATGGGAGACGTCTGCACTCAAGCTACAAGTCAATGTAAAGCTTTGTTTTTGACAGAAATTATTAACAAAATCATCATTGACCAGAGTTTCACTTTAAACTGCTTTGTAAATAGCAATGTTTTTGTTACTAGGGTATATTTTTCCTTTGATGTTTCTCGATGAGTATGAAATCCTAGACATTAGAGACCAGTTTGTGTTTGGAACATGAACTCAATTGTGTGTTTGATGCAATGAAATATTCATTACAATGAGTGAGTTTCTTCTGTCAACATTCTGCAACAAAACTGCAGTCTAAATATATTAATCTAGAGGTGTCGAATATACTTCAAATGTACAGTTCCACAAAAATGTTGTATGTACAGTTTTATTTTTCTAAACTCCAATAATGTAATGTTTATCATTTCTCAGTAGTGTATTTTCCTCCTTGATTACCTAGTGGTAGTGTCCTTTTATAAAGCCTGAATTGCTGTCAGTGATGCATCCATGTAGCATTGTGACTAAGAGTGGTCCTATTTGCTGTGAAACACTGTACCCTTGCAACTCGATAAAGTATGGGTAATCGCATGGGGCTGAATAAAATTAAGGATTAATATCACGCATGTTTTCACTTGTGTTTTCAGAATTTGCACATTTCTGATATTAATCCTTAATTCTTGGAGAAATTATGTGATTACTTGTTAATAACATAAAGGGCAAAATTAGTGCGATAAAGACATTGGATGGCCTTCGGCAATCTTCGGGAGACTATTGGAAATATTTTGTGACCTTCCAATCGCATTCTAAAATCTTCAGAGGATCTGATGATTTTCAGAAATCTTCGGGTCATCTTCGGCAATCTTCAGAAGGGTTCCAATCATCTGAAGACTCAGAATTCAGTAATCTTGCCCTCTGTGTAAATTTTTTGACATCTTATGGCAACCCTTTTACTTCCAAAAGAACCAATGCGTTAAACTTGCGGGGAAAATCATTAAATCAATGACGTCATGTATGCTGGGGGGGGGATCCCACACGAAAGTGATGGGGATGCTCGTCGTCACTTTTAGGGGTGTAAATTACGGATTTTGGTCCCCCTTAGGGTGTGGACAGAACAGGAATTATTTTTAGCCATCAAGGTATCTTTAGGGTTTGCACGCAAAGAGATTATTTAAAAAACACTGTCCATACTGTGTATAGTGGTATCTTTTGGGGTCAAAAAGGCTTGAGCCACGCCCAGATTGGTCCCTTTTAGGGGTGTAATTGAGATTTCCAACGAGCATCCCCATCACTTTCATATGGGAGTTCCCTCTGGGCATGTACATTCTGCTCGATAGCTTTAATTTGAATGGTTATGCATTAGGGTTTCTTTCCAACTTCACTTAAGGACCACATGAATTGTCTCGAGGTTTGACTCTGGGAGTGAAAGGGTTGATGTTGGTTTCCCTGTGCGTGATCAGAAGGTAGCCATGCGCTCAGTTGCTGGTTTTTGATTGGCTGAGGAGTTTTAATAATTTGGCAAGTGGCAGTGGGTGGTAGAAGTAATCGATTGAAATAAATAATCTTTATTGGAACTAAAAAAGATAAACAGTGTCTGCTTTCTTGCTTACCTCGCACAAGCTATTTGTACTTGGGGGACTCCCATGTAAAAGTGACTGAGTTGATTGTCATTCTGTACCATTATGGGTTAACGTTAACATTTATTTTGTGGCTTGGTACTGTTTTAGGGTGTTAAAAAATTAAATCTAACATGACCACTGTTAGAGTACAAACAGGGTATACTTGTCATTTTAGTACACCCCACAAAACGAGATTCTGGTACCTCTTAGAGGTTTCTTTCAAACTTCTGATGATCACCCTAGTCACTTACACGGGAACTCCTACCCCTCCTTCACCACATGTCGACAATATGTAGGTTGTCTGCAACAAGCCAAAAATCACTTGAGATGTAATATTTCAACTCGAGAGGACAGCTGCATAAAAATCTATGCTAGTTAAGACCGGGTATCCAAACCTCTGACACTTATGATTTCCTTTGTTTTAACTTGATGAATTATTATGAGTTTTAAGTGTAACCACAATACCCTTTACTGGTTTTCGTACATGTTGCTGGGAGAATTTGATAATGTATGAAAACAATTTTCATACATTATCACCAAGTTGAAAATTATTTAATTAACTTGGTGATTCAATCTCATTCATGACCTGTGTACCTGATACATGTACCTTGAGGAGTAATAATATTGCATGTTGATCAACAGCCTGCCTGATTAGGACTAATGTTTTTATTTAAGGTGGGCTTATTGGTGGAAGGAGAGGAGAATGCAAAACTGAAAATACACTGACAATCTCTGTGGCTGCTCTCATTAATTTCATGTTGAGCAGATCTCCCCAGGCTGCTAACCTATCTCATGACTATTTTCTAATATTTCTGTTGCTTTCTTTTTTCTACGACAGCACTCTCTCGGAGAGCAGGGTTGGCACAGTGGTGAGAGCACTCGTCTCCCACCAATGTGGCCTGGGGTTCAAATCTCAGATACGGCGTCATGTGGGTTGAGTTTGTTGTTGATTCTTGGGTTTAGGGTTAGGGTCCTTGTCCCGAGGGTTTTTCACCTGATATTATGGTTTTCCTCCCTCCACAAAAACAACAACATTTCAAATTCCAATTCTGGAAACAGTGAATAAAAGAGCCATGATGATTATTTTATCATTTTTATTTATTTATCAAATATCCGTTTGCACATTGTCTAAATTCACCTTGGGAGATGTTTATCCTGAGATGATCAGATTTTTTTTGTCTCATAACCTGCTTACTTGAATTTGTTACAAAGAAGTATTTAGAAGTTAGGAATTGATCACTGCTGGTAAATAACCTCCTATGCAGACTTTCTTTGGACTTGTCACGCAATCCTCCCCAGGAAGATTGCGTGATGAGTCCAAACAGCATCTGTGTAAGAGGTTAGGCATGGAAAGGTTACTAGTGGTGAGAGGTACACGCTTAGTGCCAAGGATTATATATCCAGCTTGGAAGGAGGGCATCAGTCAGGGGAACAAGTGCCATTTCTGGAAAATCTTTGTTGAAGTACATGTACTCGAAGAGTTTCCAAATATTTTTCTCCAATCATAAACTACATGTAGCGCGAGTACTCACAAGTACTGTGAAAGCAACTCATGCCAGCAAATACGTCTGTTGCTTAGCAATTTCGGGATGAACACCGCTGGCTCAGTCCCATCTCGGAGGAGGGATTATGCCAACTACATGTATTTCTTGTTCCCCTGACTGCGTCAGACTTCCATGAAGATAAAACAAAATTAAAAAGACTTGCAAGTTCTTAGGCACAGTCTAGCGTCTTTGATTATCCATTAGTCTCAGCAGATTTTTTTCCAGTGACTTGATTATAACTGATGGTATTACACTTTTAATTTAGCTCTTTTTGGTTCTCTTTCTTGTTCATATTCTATTTCCACTCTTGCTTTTCGTCCCGATCTTCTTTGAGATGATTTCTCTTGTTCCTCTTCCTCCTCAACTTCACTCTCTGTTTCTTGTTCGCCTCCCTCAACTTGCAGGTCCTGAAAACAAAAACAATATGTGGTTAACAAAGAGAAAACTCCTGACCAGCTACAAGTACAAGTAACCTCAATCATGTAAGTCAACCTAAAAAAAATTCAAATCCAGGACATCACTAGCCTGCGAACAAGCTCTCTTGCAATTTGGCCAAAGAAACTTCATGTCAACCACCACCCCCCCCCCCCCCCCCCCCCAAAAAAAAGATGGCCCAAACAAATAATGCTCCTCTGATTCCCAGTGGAAAAAGTAAAAAACATCCAAAAAACACCCAAAATTGGCCAAAATAAGAAGGAAAGTTTCTACATATTTTAAGCATTTTTCTGTCTGACAAACTGGGAGATTTGGTCCATATCTGGGGACTCCCGGATTATCTGGGAGATTTGGCAGGTCTGCATTAAATGTCCTTCTACAGGAGACTGTTCGTGGAATTTTAGCCTGTGAACAGGATCTGATGGTGCAAAACTTGTGAATTTTCAGCTTGCCTGATAAATTACCCTGAGCACCCAGGATAAGGCAGCTGCATAATTATTTAATTTACAAAAGCTTATAAGTGATCAATGAGGTTTACAAATAAAAACTCACTTCAATATCACTTAGATCACTAACATCCACTTCGTCTTCAGCCACAAACTCTGGCCCTTCTTCCTGTTACCAAAAAAGTAAACAATCCTTTAGTAATGAGGTTTTTTTTGCACAAAATCACCTTGAGGCCCAAATTTGGATGCATTACAAGTCAATGGATGGGGGGCTCCTCGGGTATGTTTTTGGTCAAAATTTTGGACCCGTTTTAGAAAGAATTTGCATTCAAATAATGATACCCTGTTCTAGAAAATACTGTAGGCCAATTTGTAATACCCTGTTCTAGAAATTAATTTTAGTAATTTCAATAGCCATTTTTGAAAAGTCTTGAATATGGATACCCCGTTCTAGATCAGGAGTCCCAAAATAACGACCCAATTCGGCGACACATACCCATATAGGTATTTTGGGGGAGAACCCCACCCCCTGGGACAACTCTGTTTCAATGGGTCTTTAAATTATCAATAATTACAAAAAATATGGTTAAGAATCCCAACTGGCAGGAGGCAGACTACACTGTAGTTGGCTATTTTACAAGCGTAGCCAAGGAGTTGAACTCGGGACTACCAAGAACAAATCCAGCTACAAATCCTGGCAGGATCGATGGAGGGCTTGAACCCAGGACCTCCAGAATACAAGACCAGTAATTAATTTTATTAAGTCAGGCCAGATCGGCACATTCAGAACAAAAGTTCAATTTATTATTTTCACCAAAATAACTAATTATAATTACCTCTTCATCTTCTTCCTCTTCTAGTTCTTCTTCCTCCTCATCCTCAATTTCTTCTTTATCCAAAGCATTCTCAAATGCAGTGCTAGGAATGTTGTAAATGTCTCCATACTAAGAAAAACGCAGCAATAACAAGAATTCAGCAACTTGTTGGACACTCGGTCAAGTAGACTACATGTACAAGCAGTCTGTTGATCAGCAGAGTAAATGCGAAATTAGTGGAGTTATAAGCATCAAAGCCACAAGCTGAGAGTATCATGGGCATGGTGGGAGATTCGGTAGTGTAGCAGCTCTTGTAAGCTACTAATTTGATTGACCCTCTGTGCGGACTGTAATGATACATGTACCTAGTATACTATACTTTGTTATTTGCTTAAAAATTAATAATTAATAAACTCACTGTTCCTTTCTTGAGTCTCTCCCAGTAATTCTTTCTCTATGGCGTTTTCCAGTTGTGCAGCTACCAAAGCTTTTTTTCTGAAAGACAAAGGCAAGTCAATTATTAACAAATTGATCAGGTACCCCAGGGAGGACTCCTACACTGTATATCAAAGTGATGGGGATACTCATTGGAAAAGAACCCCTAAATGGTAACAATGCATTTGGAGGGCATGGCTCAAGTTTATTTTTTACCCCAAAGAGGTACCAATACACACATCGGCGTACGGGAAAAAATTTGTAGGGGGGGCTGACCAAAATTTGCCCGAATAAACCTGCTTGCGAACGTCGGAGGCGCGAGCCTCTAGGAGGGTATGGGGGCATGCTCCCCCTAAAATTTTGAAATCTAGAGGCTCGGAAATGCTATTTTCAGTATTCTCCGCGAGATATTTCGTCAAAAACATCGTTCTCGGTCAAGTGTAAAATGACAGGTAATTTGAGGGCTTACAGCAATATTTCTAAAAGAAGTATGAAGAATGATTGCTTCGACGCCCAAAATATGTCCAATAATCCTTTGCATGCTGTGTCTTTGCCCGAACGGTAATGTAGATCAGTTTTGCCCGAATAATACTATTTTTTTGCCCGACTGGGGGGGCTGCAGCCCCCCCAGCCCCCACCCCGTACGCTGATGAATACACAGTAATTAGAAGAAAAAATAGGCATGGGTAAATTATAAATTGGACTAAAAAGAAAACCATGCTGACCTCTCTTGTTTTTTCTCTTCTCTCGACTTTCTTGTTTATTGTCACAAGTTTTTTACTGGAAAAAAAAAAACATTTATCAACTATCATCAATTAAGGCTACGGATAAGTCAATCATTTCTCAGTTACTGAGTGTATGTACAATGTAGCTAATAATTTCTAACACCAATAATATAATATAATGTTCCTACAGTACCTTGTTTTGAGTCTAAGCTTCCGCATCCTTATCAAGTACTGAGAAGTAAACAGAAAAGAGCATTGTAATAAGAGGAAAGCACACTGTCTTTTAATTTTTAACTTGGCTTGATTAACTACTAACTTACATACGATTACTTTTGTATTTTGTGTGTGTGCATGTCAGTGCCGGCACCGATGAGCCAATGATCTGGCTCTACATAATTTTATTTTATTTCCAGACTCGATATAATGAGTGGAATCATTACTCCCAGTAACCACTTCAAATTCTAAGACCTCAGAATATTCTAAAGAAACTGAAACTTAAAAGTCTGATCAATCTAGTTTGGAAAGAGCATTCTTGGAACCCTGTGATGCAGATACCTAAAGCATTCATGACACTGTGCCTTGAGGCCCCCATTCTAATAACCTCCTCCCCACCCCCTCCCCTTGTGAGACTTAAAATCAATAAGCCCCCTGCAAATACATGTATGGTGTGATTTTATAATAATTTATGAAATTTTAATTATGACCGATTACCTGGACAATCTTGGTATATCTCTGCTTGCATTTATGGTAACAATAAAGTTGGGCCAGTATATCAGGTTCTTGTCTATCAGTTCCAGGGCTTTCTCGTAGTTCTTGGGGAGTTTTATTTTTTCCCACATCTTAGCTGGAGAATGAGCCCTCTCTATTGTCTTCATGTAAAGATAGCAAACACCTAAAAATAATAATAGCAAAAATATACAATCATGTATCATTAAATCGCTTAAAATATCAGGGAGGAGACACCGTGGCCTAATGGTTAGCATGGTTGACTCCAGATTGAGCGGTCAATGCACTGCGTCTTGGGCAAGACACTTTACTCTGACTCACAGTACCTCTCTCCGTCAAGGAGTATAAATGGATGCTATTAAAGTCACCATTATGATTTCGATTTATGTAAGATTCTTTCAATTCCGAGTGTCAATTCCTACTCTAGACTAAATTCTCCATACATTGTACCACTGATCAGTTTCCTGGTAAATGATGAATGATGCCCTATTCTAGACCAAAACTCTCTGATTTCTATACCCTATCCCAGACTAAACTTCTTGAAAACCATACCCTTCACAGCAGCACATCACTGTATAGCTTATACATGGGATTCTCCCCCCACCCCTTGGATAAGCTCTGGTGGTGTGGGTAACTTTGGCCGGAATGCAGACTTTACCATTATTTTTACATTGTACCTTTAGTTAAATGAAATTGATGAACAAATATTTTCATGTAGTTTAACTGTAAATAACTTGAATTCACTCACCATCCTTCTCTTTAATTGTAGCATATCTGCTGTTTGCCAGTGGACAAGACT